AGCTCCGACTACCCATCAGTAAAAATAATGAGCTATTTATTGGACATGTTCTCCACCAGCCAGTCTGGTTCTGCACCAGGATGATTAGGATCTGTAGGCTACTGAGTCAGACAACAAGGCTTCAATTCCTGTTTTACAACTTTTCCACCTCTTGAAACCTCAATCTTTTCATCTGTGAAATGAGGCTTGTAACAGGACATGCCTCAAAGTATTTCTGGTAGATTAGGTGAGCTGTTACCTGAAGCAAGTGCTTAAGCCACAGTAACTATTACTCCTTTGTGACTTTCCTTCATCTGGATCAAACCTATCTCTACCAGGAAGCCTTTCTCTTTGGACCACTCTCTTCACTTATGACAATCCATCCATTGGGCTCCCTGGCAGAATGTCTTGCTAAACAGGGCAGGAGCAGTTGGCATCAAAATGCACGGTTACCATCTGTTTACACTTTCTACCCAGATAAGAGCCAGGCTTCTCTGGGTGCTGCTGTATCTGTCTCACATTTACCCTTTACTTCCCTGTATGGAGGAGAAGCTGGATGAGAAAGGAGCAACTCAAAAGGACAGCCCTGAGTCTCACTGGTCTTCCTTTAAGAATTGACCTAACTCTCACTGCCTGACCTGAACATCAGTCTCCTTCTATCTGGCCTGGGCATTCCATTCTCTGTTCTTACTGCTTTCCTTTTCTGTTGCTATTGTCACAATTAAATATCACCAGCCTATTAAAAAGTCCATTTAAGCCCAAGTGAGATGGCCCACATCTGTAATCCCAGCAGTTTGGCAGGCGGAGAGGCAGGAGATGGCAAGTTCAAAGCCAGCCTCAGCAATTTAGCAAGGTGCTAAGCAACTTAGCATGATCCTGTCTCAAAAAATTTAAAAAGTTAAAGGGCTGGGGATGTAGCTCAGTGGTTAAGTGCCTTTAGGTTCAATCCTCAGTATGAAAAAAAAAAAAAAGTCTGTTTAATGCCAGGGAATAACATGAGCCAGGCCTAGAGGTGAGACCAAAGCATAATAAGGACCACAGAATAAGAACAGCTCATGCAGGTGAGCCTAGAGAGGCAAGCAAGGGCCAAGCCTTAGCACATGTGAAACACTGGACTCAACCAGAAGAATGGAATGGAGTCACCAAAGAGCAGGAGAGGGGATTTCAGACTCTTCTGTGACATTTTCTGCCCTAGAATAAACTGGAATGGACATTAGTTCATCTCTGTAGTGAAGTAAAGCATTGGTCAATATTTATCAGATAAAAGAAGTATACTCCTTTCCTTTGTTGAAATGAGATTCGCTGATGAAAAGTTGTGCTATCTGTCAAGTCCTAGGAATGAAGCCAAAGCTTCATCTCTCCCTCTTCCCAGCACCTTATACATTAAAATCTAACATCAGTTGTTAGTAAAGGAAGAGATGCCTGCATGTGTGAATTTTTAAAAAGCACAAAAGGGGAGAAATCAAATTCTGTTTTTAATAGACTATAAACCTCTTGAGGCCAAGCCTGTCCTTCCCTTTGTGATTCTATAAGGGCCAGAGAGAAGACAACACAGGAAGCCCAGGCTTGGAAGGAACATTTGTGCTCTGGCTTCACGTGCTTTCCAAGGGACTCTTGGAATGCAAAAGAAAAGTCTCTGAAATTAAGACTAGACAAAATAATAATAATAATAATAAAATAAAAATAAAATCCTGTCTTTTTTTAAAAAATTGTTTTTATTTGTTCTAATTACTTATGTCTTTAAGGTTTTCAAGATGTATCAAAAACAACAACAACAAAAACCAATGAATCAATAATTAAAAACAAAAAGTAGAAATGCTTACGGAAGAAGGGGCCTGCTGTGTGAGATCACATATTTGAACAAGTAATGGCTTGTGTCAGGGTGAGAGTGAGGATGGGTAAACAGCCTTGGTGTTTGCAGCCTGGGTGGAGATGGGAGAAACAGGACTGTGGGCTTAAGATCAAACAAAATCAGAACCGGGATGGCCTCTTTCCGGTTCCCTAAATGCTGTCTGTTCTTATCCTAAAGGTTATAAAAGGTTTTTTTTTTTTTTGAGACTAGCTGAACAAACCAGATCCTGTTCCTTCCTTAGGAAAACGTGTTTACACTGCATCCCTTTTTAGAACTCGTAAAAGTTGGAGGACTTGGTTCTTCCCCATTAGCCTAAATTCTTCCACACTCAGCAAATATCAACAGGAAAGGGCTTTAGTCATTGATAACAATGAAGGCAGGGAGCTCACGCAGGGCCTTAATAAGCTCGCTGTGCTGACAGAGGGAAAGAAGAGTCACAGCCTCCAGCTCATGTTTTTAGAATCACGAGTTTTGAAAGCAATGGAGAAGATACTGGAATCTAGGTAAATTTATTCTGACAGAGACAACAGCATTGTCTCTGACACAGCTCATATCGGTCTAAAGATTCATTTTTGGAACTGTCAAAGCTTTCAGGCAGAAAATTATTCTTAGTGGCTGAAACTTGGTTAAACAAATTTCACTGCACAAGGAAAACAAAGTTACTTTTGGAAGTGTCGCTGGGGAAGAAATCTCAGCAGGAAACCAGAAAATTACAGGGTCAGCCAGGTAGGAAATAATGCCTCCATGCTGGGGCCCAGCAAGGTTCAGGGAGGGAGGGGATGACCTGGACCCACTCTTGACATGTTCTGAAAGGGAGGAAGAATCAGAGCCAGCAAAGATACCAGATGAATTTGCCTTGGACAAAATGTCAGGTAGTTGGCCCTGTAACCAAAGTGGTAGCAATTTGAGCAACAACATAGATAATGCCACTATTGGATAATCATAGAATGAAATTAACATTCATAAGGGTTGGGGATGTGGCTCAAGTGGTAACGCACTCGCTTGGCATGCGCAGGGCGCTGGGTTCGATCCTCAGCACCATATAAAAATAAAATAAAGATGTTGTGTCCACCGAAAACTGAAAGATAAATATTAAAAAATTCTCTCTCTCTCTCTTAAAAAAAAGAAAAAAGAAATTAACGTTCATAATTCCAAGATGGTATAAATACATAGTTAATGAAAAATGACAAGGGTTGGTGAGAGAAGGGACAGAGATCTTCCTTAAAGTAGAATACCTAGTAATAAATGAAGGAATAAGAAAAAAGAAAATCTGCATTAGGCAAGTATTGCAGCAATAATCGTTGAAAGCAAGAATTATTGATGGATCCTCAAGTTAGTGTATAAAAGGAAAAGGTCTGAAGTATCCTTACTAAACAGATATTTAATATCTTTAGAAACAGGTCAGAGTATCTTCCCATGAGGTATATATTAATTACAAATGAAATAATGGTATCTTTACAAGGGAGAAACGTGGCAGATACAATTTTAACAAAGGGGTCAGATTTAACTTCTGCCACTGGTGATGTTGTACCCCCTGACATGATGCACCCAGAAGGGCCCAACATCATATCTATAGTTATCTCTTTTCCCAGAATTCATATGACTATCTGATCATGAGAAAACGTCGAGAAACCCAAAGTGTGAGACAGTCTATAAAGTGACTGGTCTAAACAGTTCACAAAAGCCAAGGTCATAAAAAACAGATAAGTTGAGGTAAAGGACACTACAGAGGCACCCAGGTTACAGCAATGTGTGTCCCCAACTGGATCCTGTTCCAGAAAAGGACATTATTCCTAGAGACCTGGAATTTCAAGTAAGGTCTATAATTAACAGCAGGATACCAAAGTTAATTTCCTTTTTTGATAACTGCATACTATGGTTTGGGTTAGATGTTAACATTAGGGGAAGTTGAGTCAGTAGCAGATGGGAACTCTTTGTGCTATTTTTTCATTTATTCTCTAAGTCTAAATTATTACAAAATAAAAAGTTAAAAATAAAATTAATGCCAGGCATGGTGGCGCACACCTGTAAGCCCAGCGATTTAGGAGGCTGAGGCAGGAGGGATCATAAGTTCAAGGCCAATCTCAACAAATTAGCCAGGCCCTAAGCAATTTGGTGAGACCCTGTCTTAAATTTAAAATTAAAAAGGGCTGGAGATATGGCTCAGTGGTTAAGCACCTCTGGGTTCAATCCCATTATTAAATATATATATATATAATAAATTTAACTTGACTTTATTTGGCAGCCAGCCAGGACAAGGCTGGGGTATACACATTTCTCAGGTGATACCCAAGACCTTGATGAAAATTACTGAGAAGAGAATCAGCAAAGCATATAGCTATGCAGACATCTGTCATTTTTACCTACTGGATGATCAGGGGACAATACTTCCCAAAACAATGGGCTTACCCCTGCATCCCAAGTGATGCCCATCCTTATCTACATTCTCATAGTCAAGAGCAGTCAAGGTCACTGACAACAGAAAGGACTCAGATTCAGATTGTAACTTGTGAAGAATTTGGGAAAGCCATGAGAGAATGCTCAAGAAAGGAAAGGAAGTGCTGAACTTAGAGGAAAAAAGAGAAGGTCAGCCAGACCACCAGGGGCTTACCTAGGAAAAGCAAGAGAAAAGGCAGTCTCCTAATCAGTCTTGGAGGCCTAGCCAGCCAAAGGATGCATTCCTCAATACCCCCAACATCAACAACAGTATCATGTCTATCTAAGTCAATTTTTAGTTCAATCTTTTTTCCAGACCTTGTATTTAAACAAAACAAAACAAAAAAAAACTTTCCAATATAAAAAGAAACAAGAGCCAGATGCTAATCTGAATATTATTTATTTAATAACGACAAATAATTCTTCTCCATATTAGTGCTCATCTCCTGCTAGATATTAAAATATTTGTGGAGTGATGCATCAAGAGAAAAGTAACGATACAAAATCTTATTGAAGGAGATGCAAAGTTTTATGTTCCAAACATGGCTTTCTGTTTAGCATAATTTCAAATGGTTCTGGAAATGACTGTGTGCTAGCAGAACTCAACTAGCTATTATTGTGGAGCTAACCACTTAGTGGCGAAGCCCTAGAACCAGGGTTGAAGCAAATAACATAACATCATTCTGAAGGCTGGTCCACCACAGCCCCATGATAGATAGTAGTCCATACATACCTCCCACCGCATTACAGCGAGATGTCATTTCCCAGAGCACCAGAGCCATGGAGTAGACATCAGTCTGCTTAAAGGATTCAACATTCTCCAAATTCATCCTGGATTCTAGGACTTCTGGGGCCATGTATCTTGCAGTTCCCACCTAAAGCAAAAATAAACATTGAGACCTGTCAGTGAAGCCCAAGTGCATCATTATTTCCACAGTGTAGAAATGCTTGTCCCTCAAGGTCACAGATGATTTTTAAAAGAAACACAATGCTGTTTTAGATAAAGAGAACAGCACAGAAAGATATGGCATATATGGTTATTTTTGAAAATAGATGTTCTCTCCCTGAAAACCCTTTAAAGACTATAAACAAAGCTTGCCAAAATAAGGATGTGCCAAAGCTCAGAGCTGCCTTAGCTAGCCCTGTGATATATGTCAACACATTATTCAATGACATCCTTACAGAGATAACCTTAGAGACAGCATCTGTGATATTTTAGATGTTTACTTTTGCTTTTGTAAATTCAATAATTTTTCATTTTTGAAACTCCAAGGCTCATGATAAAAAATAATTGCCATCAGTTTTGATCACTGAGGATGATTTTAATCTCTGTCTACCCCATGGCACATTCCAGTGTGCCAAGGATGTAGTATAATTTCATAAATCTTAACAAAATTAAAATTGTATGAAAATATCTCCACCATAAAAGACCAAACCTGAATTCCATTATAAATGTTGTGGGTGTGTCTTATAAATTATACTTTGATTTAGGCCTGAAATGATCTCTACAACTTGAGAGCATGCAAACATGGAGCCCACAAGCCAAAGGAAAAAATATTTCTAGGGAAAAAATTTTCAAAAAAAATCAATGTTTGATTTGAGACTGAAATATGTACAGCCTGATTAATGACAATTACCTTATTGCCCCAAGGATCTAAGGAAGGCCCAGTAATTTGCTATCATCATTTCAAGGAATGCTCCTTATTAGTGTATATTAGAAGAAATTTTTCTCTTTAACAAATTCTTGCATGACTCATTACCATAGCCCACCAATCTGTTTATGTTTCGGCGTGTTTACCTCAACACTGCCTTGCTGCCATGGACACAGAGCACTGCCTGAGCAGGAACTGTTCACTACAGAAGCAGGCCCTGCCACCAGGCTGAGCCAGAGAAAGTAATGATAATCTTGATGGGCTACAATGAGTGACAACATGAAGCCCACCATTCACAAAGGATGCCTGGATAATTCTTAATCACTCCCACTTTTTTGGCTCCTTGGCCAAAATAGATTTCCATCTTAATCTGTGAGAATGCTTCCTAAGTGGAATTGTTCATTCACTCACCAAAAGCTTATAGGTCAGTTTCACTTTCAAGGCACTGTGCTGGATGTCTTGGGTGACCATACAGATATGGATCTAGATGTCAGGGAGACTGCCTTCTGGAATCTAGAAACCAGTATAACTACCAGTAGTATAGAGTTACAGGGGGCTAAGTACAACTAAAAGAGAGGTCAAGAACAGATTTCAATGCCAACAGTGCTCCAGGCCAAGAAAAATATTTGCAGATGGAAGAGAAATGAAGATTGACTTGGAGAAAAATGATTGCCCTGAATTGGGAAAGATTTGGAGACAGGAGGACAAGGGTTGTCCATCAGCAAGAGAGAATGGAGGATGCCCAGGGTAGACTGCTAACTTTGGCTAGACTCCCTAAATAAGGATCCAGGGTGTACACCTGTGTGGCACAGAGGCAGGAGATACTGATGGAGAAGTAGAGTGAGGACAGACACAAGGGAAGAGGGACGTGGCATCAGCTCTCCTTACCTGCCCACTGTTAGCCAGGTCATCTACAGACAGTGTAGGATCCAGCCGCAGGGAGAGCCCAAAGTCACACAGGCAACAGGTCAGGTCGTTCTTCACCAGGATATTGGAGCTCTTAAGGTCCCTGTGCACAATGGGCATCTTGGGCCTCCCGCAGGGGGTGTGGTCACTGTGCAGGTGCGCAATGCCCCGGGAGAGGGAGCTGCCAAGCTTGCGCAGGTCTTCCCAGCTGATGACGTGCCGTGTGAGGTACTCCTGCAGGTTGCCCTTCGCGTGGAAAGCGGTGATCAGCCAGTACTGTTTGCCCAACTCTGTCTTCCGCTCCTCCGCGGTCAGGAACTGGAGGATGTTCTCATGCTTCAGGTTGATGTCGGAGAAGATGTCCTTCTCGGTTTTCCAAGACGCGTACTCCTCATAGGGGAAGATCTTGACCGCCACGGTCTCAAACTGCTCTGAAGTGTTCTGCTTCAACTTGGCCTTGTAGACCTCGGCGAAGCGGCCTTTCCCCACCAGGGTGTCCAGCTCGATGGGCAGCAGCTCCGTGTTGTGGTTGATGTTGTTGGCGCACGTGGAGCTGATGTCGGAGCGGTCATCCTCCAGAATGATGGCGCAGTGCTCGCTAAACTCTATGAGCTTCCCGGACTTGCTGGTTTCCCAGGATGGGCTCAGCTTTTGCTGCCGGTGGACGCGGTAACAGTAGAAGGTGATGATGACGGCTATGGCGATTCCCAGCGGTGGCAGGAGGCTAACGCCTGTCACTTGGAAGATGACTAACAGCAGGTCAGGACTGTTGGTGGTATATTCTGATGTGGAAACAAAACAAGGAGAGGAGTTGTTGAGCTCAGTAGTGAGCGAGTCCTGGTTTCTAGTCTTTACCCAGTAGCATCTGTACAGCGTTTATGGATAATATATTAGGATTTTTTTTCCAGCTATGCTGAAGTACACCTGTCCATTCTTCTCTACTTCTAGCTATCCACTAAACATCTCCTACTCTTTCCCCAAACTTCAGACTAAATGTCTCTAAGGGAAGTCTAAGAAAACGTAAATGTCTTATTTTATATATTTTCATAGCATGGTATTCTTTTCATATGTTACATTTCAGCACAATTTAAACCAAATAACTAGGACCTCACTTTTTGGTTTTTATCTCCATCTTTTTTTTTCTCTCCTCAATCCCAGCAGACAGGGAAGTCCAGGCTGGCAGGGTCCTCTTCACTACCATACATGCCCATAGCACACAGCAAGTTCTCAATATTGTTGAATAAAGACAAAATGTTTACTGAATGTTCACTAAGGTCAAGGCATTGCCAGAGGCATTGGGAATTTAAATAGAAGGAGAACAGCTCCTGCTTTCAAAAAGCTTGCATATAAGGCATCTGGTAAAAAAACAAACAAACAAAAAACAGAGATAGCCAAAGTTCTGGCATAGACTTTGCTCATTTCCAAGCTCTAACATGTTCTACTCTGATCAGCATTCAGGCTACCTGGAAACATCAGCTCTGAGCCTATGAGTTGTGCAGAGAGGGGTCTCTGGGGAGAGTCTCTTTGGAAATCTATTACCTTATGTCCACCCATTTTCCTGTTTTCACTGAGCATACATTTTTCCCCCAGTACTGGAGGTGGAACCCAGGGCCATGCTCAGGCTATACAAGGATTCTAGCACCATGCTACATCCCCAGCTGTGGACATGCAATTTGTAGTTACATGGAAGAAGAAGAATTAACAGCAACAATGAAAACACTGCTACAAAGTAAGAGAGGATAAACATGGAAAGGCTTCCAGTTTTCTTTCTTGGACAAAGAACCAGGCCCCTGTGATTGATGAAGACACTACCAAGTGTCTACTGTGAGTATGACACTGCCCTCAAGGAGTATCCAGTAGAGGGGTTAAGGCAGGTTGTTATGGTTTAGATGTGAGTTGTCCCCGAAAAGTTCATATGTGAGATGATGCAAGAAGGTTCAGATTGGGTTGTGAGAGTCTTAATCCAGTCCATGAATTAATCCCCTGATAGGGATCAATTGAGTGGTAACTGAAGTGGTAGGCTGTGGCTGGAGGAGGTGGGCATTGGAAGGCATGGCTTTGGGGTGTATATTTGCACTTGAAAAGTGGAAATCTCTCTCTCTCTCTCTCTCTCTCTCTCTCTCTGCTTTCTGATCATCATATGAGATGCTTCCCTCTGCCATACTCTTCCGCCATGATGTTCTGCCTCACCTGGAGCCCAAAGGAATGGATCGGCCTTTTATGGACTAAGACCTCTGACACCATGAGCCCTCAAATAAACTTTTCTTCCCTAAAATTGTTCTGGTCAGATCTTTTAGTCACAGTGGCAACAATAACAAAAAACTGACTAAAACACAGGTACATAAATGCTGAGCAACATATGACACTCTGGGATGTGAGCTCAATGTGTGGTACAGTCTGTGTGCTGGTGGAGGGTGGAAAAGCTCAGAGACTCATAGAAGGCATGGAGGCAAAGGCTGCTTTTAAGGTGGCCACTGATGGATTGGAAAGGTCCAAGATGGACGGAAACAGTGTTATGTTAAGGAGAAAGGATATATGATCTGTCTGGGGAATTATCCTAGAATTGCTCTGCACAGGGAAATAGAAAAAAAGTGTGGAATGGAAAAAAGGTGGGAATGGAGCCAGACTTTATGTTGGAGAAAAGATATGTAATTATTCAATTGACAGTTTTCATTTACTGTAGGTGTCTAAGCAAAAAAACGAAAGAACAACAAAAACCAGTGTCGAGGATATAGTCCAGGTAGAATGGAGACAACCTTAACTTCTCAAGGAGAACCCATCACCTAAATAGTATTTGATACCATCATTTAATGAAATAAAAGCAGAAATGTCAGCACATGTCAATTTAGAATGTTCAGGTGTATGATGATGTACTACCTGCTCTTAAGGTAACTCTAAATGGGAATATCAACTTCCATTGACCACAAATTCTAAGATCTTATAATCCACTTGATGACACTAAAAACTGGAGAAGTAACCCTAAGCCCTCAGAATTAGAGAACCTCAGAGGGAAAACAAATCACAATTTTGGGGAGAGATACATTAATGCACTTAAAAGAATGGAAAAGGTATGCAATTTTTTGATGACCTTGGGGGGGAAATGCTCCCGTGGATTTGTTTGGACTGTCCCTGTTTTCCCACAAAGCATGAACTTGGAGAGCAAAATTACAGAGACAGGTGAAATAACATTCAAGCACAACACAGATTACATTTGCTCCTTGAAACTCCATCTCTCTTATCTGAAGCATCCAAGGTGGTGCTTGCTTCAAGCACCGGCTTTTTCAATCCTCCGTGTCTGTAGCTATATAAAATGCCTTAGATCATAAATTGGTTTGATTATCTGATTTCTTTTCTCTCAGGGTAAATTAAGCTGTACATGAACAATGGTCAGGTCTATTTTGATCACCTGGATATACCCTGAACATTGTGAAGGATAAGCCACTTAATGATATTCAACACATGTGTGTTGTATGGGTGTTATGTGAGAGGTTATTCCTCAAATTTCTTAGGTTCCCTAGCAGGGCTTGGTAAACTATGCCCCAGGGCCCAGGACCAATTTTTAATACAGCCCTATGACCTAAGATTTATTTATTCATGTATTTTTTCATTTTTAAAAAGTATTACACCCACACACACACACACCCACACACACACAAACACACATGCATGGAGTTCCTGCAATAGAAATCATTTAAGGCCTATAAAGCCTAAACTATTTGCTATTTGGGGAAGGTTGACTTTGGTCCAATGTGATATTCTTTTTCACATACAAGGAAATGCAATTAGAAAGTTTTAAGTATTAACTGCATAATATTTATATGTGGTTCCATTTCATTAAAACATGAAATGAACTGCTCATTTATTCTATAATTTATTTTATTTTATAATTCCTAGCCATATGTAAAAAGGATCTCCCTTATTCAGTTCTAATTCTTTTCAGGCTAATAAAAATACAAAAACAGGAATCCCCTGAAGTTTATGTGTGGTATTGACTGAGGAAGGTTCTAGAAATCCCCAGTTCAAAGTCAGAAACCATATTTTTACTTTCCCCTCAAATTTCCTGTGATTTCTTTTTGAAAACCTATGTGTAAAAAATCTGTGGGGAGAGGAATTCTTGAAGAACATCTGTCAATCTTGAAACATCAAAGAGGTGGTGAAATACCCTAACAATAGCAAACCAGGCTGGAAGGAAGCCTTGGGATGTGGCTCTATCTAAACAGAACCCACCCACACCCTCTAGCAGTATTAACCCTTGGGCTGCTACAAGAGAAACCCACAGCTTGTTGGCATCTCATCTAGAGACCAAGAGGAAGCATTTCCTCCTACCAACCCCAATTATAGAGAAAACACATAAACTTTGGCTGTGTGCTGTTTTATATAATATTTACATTTAATTGACAGAAAGCCACTGTGAGGTAGAAAGGGCTATTATTATAAACCCTGTTTCACAGATAGGGAAGATGAAGTTCAGGTAACTATAAATAATTTCCCAAAGATCATCAACTCAGGTAATAGCAGAGCTGACATCTGAAACGAGCTCTGTTTGATTGGCCAGGGCTCTTAACCTCATGCCATGATGTTCCCTAAACTTCACACTGTTGAGAGCCAATTAAGGATGACTTTATAGAGCCTCTCAACTTGATAAAGTGGTTTTCTTGATTGGAGGCTGGACTGAGTGCTTTTACAGCTGCTTTGGTGATACTGGCAATCTGTGGACAGGGCATCTAAAAGAGCATAGTCTGGGTACGTTCTCCTTGGTTCTTAACTAAGAACAACATACAAATATGTATCTTTTCCCTGCTGGGGAAGAAAAGCTTTTCCATGGGGAGAACCCCCCAAATCTTTCTTTTCTGAAAGACTATTCCATTGCCTATCACATAGTAGGGCTTAAGACATAATTGTTAAACTACTGGAGTCTTCCACACATAGTCTCTTATTATAGAACATCAAACTAGATAAAACTCTAGGTGGAATTTCCCTAAGTTTCATAAAAAAAAAATAAGTTCAACACTATAATATCCGCTCTTCTCAGCCTGAGCACTGTGGATAGAAATCAGTGCTTCTGTGAATTCAAATGAGCAAAAGTTAAACCTCCAATTTTCTGTAACCTTTAACTAAAATTTAACATTTCCCAATATTGGGTTTACCTATGATTTTGTCACCAATAGAAACCACTGATTTTTATGCCGTCTATGTTTGTTACAGGTGCCTGGACCTATTGCTTACCTGCATCACTTAGACCTTTCAATATTTTCAGATCTGCTGCCAGTTAGATCCTGATAAAGCGCTACTAAATAAAGACATAAGTATCCAAATTCATTTTTTAAATATTTGGTCACTGTATTTCAATATAAATTTTTTTTCTTTCAAATCCTAAGAATTATATTTTGTGCATTTGAAAACAGCATTCCAGGAAAGAGTCTAGAGGCTTCAGCCATCTAAGAAGTCCATAGTACACACATACAAAAAGCCAAGTACCCTCGGCAAAGTGAAGGCATTTGACTCTGGACTCTCTGCCAGGCTTGCCTCAGAGCAGATTTTGAGATTCATCAGTTTCTCTGGGAAGTTAGTAGCTACTGCCAATGGTAGATCTCCCTGGTTTGCTGAGTGTGTTCCGCCGGAGCAACTACGTCATCAGCCAGAGCTTATGTCAAGTGTGTGAAGGGAGCTCTGTAGTGAACTGGGAAGCCCTCTTTCAAATTCTTCTCACGATAATAAAGATAAGTAAAGCAGCATGTGCTTTATGGGACCAGAAACTGAGTGGTTCATCTTATAAACATCA